GTGTTCGGGCTTGCCTCACGGTGAAATATGCACAGGCAGGCAACGAGTCGAGTCCGAGAGCCAAGGACGACGACGAGGACGAGGACGAGAATGAGAGCGAGGGTAAACTCTGGCAAAGTACAGAAAAGAAAAGAAGGAAACAGCAATTTTTTGAATGAAATTATGCATTCATAACCATCGACGAGCCATTTAAGAGGGGTTGCCATATACACTAGCACGAAGCACAAGTAAAATAAGAAGAAAGGGCATGAATGTAAAAGAAGTCGAAACGCTATACACTGACACTCCGTACAGGTGGGGTCGATTGTGGCAGTGGGTTATGCTTGAACTTAAGTCAAACGCAGCTAAAAGAGTTAAGTCTCTAATGGACTTGAGGCGATTGTTGGCCAAGACCAGCTAAAGGCTAAAAAATTTGAAGTTAAATATTGGGAAAGTATTGCAGCAAACCCTTTTCAAGCCGCCTTTTCTTTATAAGTAGATATCTCAAAGGCGCAGGACCTAAGAGTTGTGCAATTCAAATGCCTATGGAAATTGTTGAAGAACGATAATGTATGGAAGAAAAAATTGACTTCGTCGAAAGGGCTGCTGCTGCCATTGAATATTACAAAACAAATTGTTGTTAATACTCAAAGCGAATCATAATTTCAAAAAGTCTACTATTCTCTACTCCAATACTTTACTTCGGTCGAACGTACGCTACTCTACTGTAACCTCGACGTCTTTCTACTTTATTCTATTCTGTTCTTGTCTAACCATTTCCACTATATTCGAGACTTTTCTGGTGCAATATAACATTACTCTATTCTTCTCTACAACTATTTCTTATCTAATTGTTATTCGACTATATAACTTTTGAAGACTAGAAATATACTTATGGAGCTAAACATTTCTTAGCTTGGATAATAACATCTAATGATTTTCAACAGATCCTAATGATAAAAGATAATTCTTTGATCTTCATAGCTCATCTTTTGTGATTGATTATTTAGAAGTACGGTACTGTGATTAACACGCTGGTTAAACACTTATTAGTAAGGCTACGCTGCATTGAGTTCTTAAAGGAATCGTGAAGTCGTTGGCAATATTAGGAAGATATGTCTTAATTTTGAACTGTTATTCATCTCTGGATATTCTCGAAGTATATTTACACCAAGCTCGATCGGAAAGTTACGGATCTGAGAGACACCCCTAGTACAGTACTGGTAATACTGCTTGACATTGGTACGGTATGCATGGGCCCATTTATAGGTTGAATACGACTAGCTATTGGTCACTTTAATGTTTAGTTATTAGAATATGATGGTCAGTGAAGTCGCAGTGGTGGCCTCTTGTTAGTGCATTCGTCTGGTCAACCCTCTTTGCTCTCGTGCCACCCTTAAGCCTTTAATCAAATGCAGCAACCCTAAGCGAGGGATTACCTTTACAGCTACTGCTCCTGCTGTTGTCGCTAACAAGTTGTTATTATTTGTTGCTGGATGTTGTTTAATTTAAAAAATGTCACGCGGACTTAATACCCATAATGTGTAGCCCCTGTGCCTGTGCCGTGCCTCTGCCTGTGCCTCTGCCTGTGACTGAGCCTGTGCCTGAATGCCTGCAATGCATCAGCAACATCAATGAAATGTGTAAGCCTTTGACTTGATGCCACTGTGCTGTTAAGGGGTTCATTCATGTGTGAGTGTGCTTGCATGTGTGTGTGTGTCTGTGTGGCATGCAACTGCAGAAACCTGTTTGATCCAAACTTGTTCTCAAGGGTCTAGACCACTGACCAGCGGGCAAGCCCCATGCCATGTGCCGAAATAAAACATATATACTCTCCTTCAGATAGGGGCAGAAAATCTCAATATGCATATGAGTAGTATTGAAAGAAAAACAGGGAGAAAGAGAGCGAGTGAGAGAGAGAGAGAGAGTGAGAGAGTGTGTGTGTAAGAACCCTGTGCCGTGTCGCGTGTTTCATCATACTTTTTTTGTTGGATCAGAATTTGAGGGGGTCGAACGGTAAACGTTTTGGCGATAACATCTGCCAGGGCTTTTTGCGATTCCACATTCAGCTCAGGGGTTGCTCGTTGCATAATTATGCCATTGTCCAATGAGATTCGATATAATCTAATTTGTTGTAGCCACCAAACCCACAGCCCACCACCCGTCTTGGGGGTTAGTTTCTCGGTTTGTTCTTTCTTTTGAGCCAAAAGATGATGACCCAATGACCTACAAGTTGTGCTTTACCTCTCGTTATTCATTTGTTGGCCCTGCGCCAAGTTGAATGCCTTCGCATAAATTATTCACTGCTGTTTATCGCGCAAAGGATTACCTGGCTGACAGGCATTCGTTTCTTGCTATGCTAATACCCCACCTGATGCTAGGTGAGGTGTGTGTGCAAATAAATCCTGTAGTCTTCGGGCCTAAAGCGAACTTCATTCATATTTGTCTACTTTTTGGACACACCTTACATCCATTATATTCCCCCTTCTAGCATTATCCGCCAGATTTAAACTTTTGATTTTCCAAATTGTAAATTTCCGACATCTCTTTCTAATTCAAATCACAATCGCTTTGCTCTCCAATCCCGCCTCTGTCCCTGCTTCTGCCTCGTATTTTGTTTTCGGCTTTCGTGTTGGGAGTGTGACGAATGCTTTACATTTGTCAAATTAGCTATAGAGCCGATAACAGCTCCGGGGCGGAGCAGCGCAGTGGAGTGGGGCAGCGAGCAGAGCAGCAGGAGATGTGTTTTCAAAGTGCCCGCAGCCAATGCAGTAATCCACTCGCTGTCAATTAATTATATTTATAGTCTCTACTCACATGCTACGCGCAATCTGTATAAGCTTCACATGTTCGATATATTCGAGAGTATAAAATTGAAGTTTAATGGTTTTCAAAAATATTTCTGAAATAGATATCTCTAAATATTGTTATTAGAAACAAATATTCAAAATTTATTTTATGATACATATTTTCTTAATTTCCAATGATATTTAAGAGGAGCTTCTAGCAAAATATATATTTGTATATTTATATATAGGCATCTATATAATACTGACCTTCCTAGTGCTGTATTTGCCTTGTTATTGAACTGAACTTGACATTTCGCACTGACATTGGCATAGGGATAAAGACAGGGATAGTGACTGTTCGGAAAACCAAGCTGTGGAAGAGCAGGAGAGCAGGGAGAGGGTTGGCCTGTTGCGGGTTAGGCTCGATGAGCGAGTGAATACGAGAAATAAAAAGGATAATACGAGTGCGCCGAATGCGATGAGCTTGACCCGACCCCAATCCAGCGACAGGATACACGTCGAGCCGACACAGGAGGCAGCTGCTGCCTCTACTTGCTCAACCTTAGCTCGTTGCACGAGCCAAAGCGCTTCGGCAACGCGAGTTGTGTGGAGTTGTGGGTATGCAAATTGGTTGAAAAAGGACACAGAAATGCGTTTATGAAATTATTTGCGAGTGCTTGAAAAAAGCAGCAAAAGCAAACCCTACGAGAGGAAACTAAACGATATATTGAAAGCTTTGGCAGACAGAGAACATATAATATAACTGAAAACAAAAGCTTAGTGTTTGCAAAGCCAATCGGCTTCGGCTTGCTGAATCGCGAATGCTTTAAAGTGCCAGGTGTGCAAATCATAAACCTGTTCATGAATCGTAAATGTTATTGAATACTGACAACTCAACCCCTCGGATGAACGAACTGTAAAACTAACTTTGAAGCTATAGCAAAACCTTTAGGCCCGAGTTAAAGCTATCCACAGTTCGGCACAGATTCCGATTAGATATAATGTCAGCTTAATGAGTCGAATGATATCCCGCCCGAGTTGCTTCGATTTTGAGGGGGTTACTTCTGAGCTTATCTGAGCACGCCGTGGTTGATGGTGTATCTGGGTGGTGGGCTTCACTCAAGCTGCTCGAATTTTTTTCTCCAGCCAAGAGCTGACATTTTATAAGCAGAATGTAGATAATCTTTTAGATGAGATGTGATGCGTGTGGAAAGTTTCAATTTGCTGCTTTTAGGCTTCAGATCGAGATATTCTTCCTTCAATGGAATTAAGGATAGATGCGATTGCTCACAGCATCTGTTGATAGATCCGAGATCTTTTGATGTACTAGAACTACTGGAGAATAACCTATAATGCTACATATACCTAACAATTCTATATTTATAAATACACTTTACATAGGGGAAAGTGATTCCGATAAATTAATATTTACAAGCCTTTAAGATCATTATACCCTGAACCCATTTTCAATGGGAAATCAGGGTATAATGGTTTTGTTAAAAGTATGTAACAGGCAGAAGGAGGCGTGGCAGACCCCACAAAGTATATATATTCTTGATCAGGGCGACGAGCTTAGTCGATTTGGCCCTGTCCGTCTGTCTGTCCGTCCGTATGTATGAACGCGTCGATCTCAGAAGATATAAGAGCTAGAGACTTGAAATTTTTTTTCCTAGGTCCGTGTATATCACGCGCATATCAAGTTTTTCTTTATATATCGATAATTACTCCCGATATTTTATTATCGATTAAAAACCTTATCGAAAGCTAGTTATTTAATTATATCTCCTACACCTTTAAAGCTAGAGCTTCCAAATTTTTAATGTAGACTTATATGTATTTTATATAATTTCGATTTTTGTTGTAATTTACCCCCCACCCCTATATCCACCCCCTCACCCTCACCTTTGTAAAAGGCGTATTTCAAGTACTAGAGACGTGTGCTTTGGAATGTACATACATTTTTACCATATGATTACGCTCTAAAAGTTTCATTAAGATTGTACGTCTAGAAATTAAATTATTCAACAAATAAATTCTTATAATGTTGCCCACACTACAGCGCAGCACAAGCGCAGTCGCTGCTTACTGCGCAGTTAGCAGAGCGCGTTCTAATACGTGCGTGTGTATGTTTCGAAAAGAAGTGCAGACTGATTAGAATATCAGCTTAGAGACTAGAGCTTTCTTACTTGTTATTAAATATTATTGTGTACTTAACGGTGAATGATTTTATTAAAAAATAAATTAAAATTATTTCCAAAATAGACTTTCCGCTTTCTAGGAGAAATGCTGATAAGGTGAAGAGTTCCTATTCATACTTAAACTTTTGTGTGTTCTTTAATTACTATTTACTTTGTCGTACACACGTAATATATAGAAAGTGACATCTCTTCACATTTCATCCGTAATATCCACATTTTTTTTCTTCTCCTTTTCTTCCTTTTTCTTAGCCAACAAGCCCATGTAGCGGGCGGCTATTTAGGCCCATTTAATTGCTGGGTAAACTTTTTCTGTGACCAGGAGTTTTACTGCTCCCGCAGCTCCTGCTGCTGAGGCTCCTCCGGTTTCCTAGCGCCGATATGTTTAACTGTGTTAAGTTCTCGCCAGCAACTTGTCGCCTGCTCATTAGCAGTCGCATTCTCATTCGCATTCGCAATCGCAGTGACAGTTACACGAACTCACACACATTCACACAAGCAGCACACACATACATATGCATGTGTGTATACACTGATAAAGACAAGGGATTCTAGTTCTAGTTCGGGGTCCTACCTCAAGCTGAAAAGGAAACGGTCGAAAGGATTAAGGAGCATAGCCAACAATGCATTAAAAAGCCGGCGCATCAAGCATTTTACAGTTATATGAAAAGATATTAAAATAATTTCATGAAAATTAACAGAGAAAGTATTAGCCGTGCAGCGGAATGAGCTTGCATCGTCCCGTCTCTCTCCTTCTCTATCTTTGTCTAACTTTGGCATGAACACATACATATATATATATATATATATGATATGATATCTGTCTGTCTAGCTGTTTGAACTTGGGAACTTGATTTTGCGTAAGAGTGCCAGGCAAAAGGACCGAAAACACCAACAACGTGCAACATCTGTCGCTAAGTACAAACTGTGATACACACAGAGACAGAGAGACAACTATAGACAGAAGGGGCGGACAAGCGGACAGGCTGAATGACAGGCCGGGATACACACACACAGACACAAATATGTATACATATATATTTATATATATCTATATATACATATATAGACATACGTACGTGGCTGTGAGTCCTGGAACCGCGTGCCAGCGACTCCTCTTTAAATTTTGCTGACTGCGCGCGCAGCCACATGAACTGGCAGAGGTCGAGCTGGCTGGCTTTAAGCCAGTCTCCTATATATGTAGCTCAAGTGGCTGAGAAAACGGAAGTTAGGCAAGAAATTAAGTATTTCGTTTCGGCAAAAACCAAAAAATGAAAAAAAATAAAATAAAATAAAAAATAAATAAATAAGAAAAACTTTTAAAGCCACGCCAAATGGTTGGCGAAGGCAAAGGGACATGGCACATGGGAATTGGAGTGGGACACGCAATCGGGCAGCGGCAGCAGCGGAGCGGACTGCCAGCGGGTTGGCGGGCTGGCGGGCTCTGGCAGCGTGAGAACATTTTCATGCAGGATATTTTAGCGGCTGCTCATCAAGAGTTGAACACACCCTGGTGGGAAGTCTGCTACCCTATCAGACCAACACAAGCACGCACGCACGCACACACACACGCTTACGCTCGGACTCACACTCACACTCGAGTCGCACGTCGCTCTCTCGCTCTCGCTCTCATCGCTGCTGCTGTGTGCCTATGAAATTTCCCAGTATTTTCAGTACACTTCCGTATTTCATGCGCTCTCACGCACTGCACATGCGCTTCCAGAGAGCGCGAGAGCATTGAAAACATACACAATATATATATAGAGAGATAGAGAGAGCACAAGAGTTCCCCCAAAAAATACTGGGTTATCACTTTGTAGTTGTTGTTGTTGCTGTAGCTGTTGCTACTGCTGCTGCTGCACTTCACAGGCTGGGCAAACACACACACATATGTGTGCAAGTATATGTATATGTATATACACACATATATATATTTACATATATATATAGCTACATGTATATATGTTTGCATGCTATGCTCGTTTTTTTCTGGTTGGGGGTGTTATGTATTTTTTACAAGTGTTTAGTCAAATTCTCGTACGCTGTCAGTGGGGGAGCGGCCCCTCTTGGTTACCAAGCGAGGTGGAGTCGAGGTGGGGAGCAGGGCAAGGGATTGTCGGGAACGTTTTGTTTACAAACGTGAGGTAAAAAGTTCGAATGAAACTCCGGCAGAGAGAAGCATTTTAGATGGAAATTGATTTTCGCTGTGGCCAAGCGAGTCGGTGGAGATAAAACAACCAAAGCCTCGCTATATAAGCTAAAGATAATAGAGAGTAACCCACCCCGCCTTCTCCCTTTTTCCCAGCAAATCGAACCGTAAACAGAGCGTTAGAGTTTTTGGAGTTTGCTCCGAGATGTTTCCGAAGCAACAGCTTATAGGTAAGTGATAAGAGCTAGTCGATGATTTAGAGAGATTGAGCGGTAGATGAGGAAAGAAACAGAGGGAGAAGCACGTTGATCTCTTGCTTGAGTTCCCTAAGAAATTTATTTTATAAAGATGTATATATTATCCTTACATTTGATACTCACTTTAAAAACTTCCCAGTTACATTTTTGTAAATCTCTATTTTGTATATAGCCCAATTACCAAAATTTTACAACGCGTTGTGGTTGAAGTATTTCCCATCAGTTTCTTCTAAAAAATTTAACCTAACTGTATTCGTAAATGTGGTATTTTCTTGACAATTTATTCGCCTTTGTTCCGCTTCGATTATTTTCCTCTCATATTTCGAATTGAGAGTCGCTTGCTTGACTGATCTTTCAAGTGTTTTTTCTTCTTCTTTGTAGAAGGCAATAGAGATCATATAAAAAATGTCCGGTAAGAGCTCAGTTATATAACACTCAGCGATTAGCTTCCAGTTCATGAAACTTGATTAGACGAGGTAAAGCTCTCTTTCCCTCTGCCTTTGCTCCTGTCACGGGGTGGGGCCCAACCACATCCTTACGTGCAGCTGGAGAGGCAATCTTAACAGCCTTTGCAGACAGAAGACAACAGATGATTGACAAAGAAAACCGCAAGACATATTTAAATAACTGTGCAAGGGCCATCGCAAGACTTGTCGTGGCCCGAACCGAACAAAAAACAGGATCAGAAAAAGAAAAAACAAAAAACAGATGATTGCGCAGCAGCAGCAAAGCAAAACAAAACAAACCAAAAGGACAGATCAAGGTGAGGCTTGAAGAAACAGCTGTCAAGAATTGAGGACAAACGGCATATGATCGCTGCGGTGGCTTGTTGCCTGTTGCTTGTTGCTTGGTGCAACAGGCTGCAAGGTGCAAAAGAAAACTTCAGCCAAGGGGAGGCACAAGCAGGCGAGCGATCTGCACGTCGGCATTAAACAGAAGCAGAAGCGGGCATAATAAGCGATCTTTCCTGATTATTATGTTTGGGAGCAGTCGGTGAGCTCTCCATATTACAGGTAGCTCAGGTAAACCTGAGTGATCTACTCTCTCCCTCTTCAATAGTGTCTCTCTCACGCTCTCTCTCTCTCTCTCTCTGCTCGCCCTCGTTTACCTCCGTCTTGATCGTCTGCCGGCCTGTTGAGCAGCTGTCGTTAATGAGCTGTACCTCAGGCTACCCTGTGCTTCGCAGCCGCGTAGGGGTTGCTCGGCCATCAGCCAGCATTTCGTATCTAATTTTCTTTCTTTTCTGTTTGCTGTTTGGAGAGCAAATGCAATCTCCGCACACACATCTAATCTTTATTGACGGCGTTCGGCTAATGCTATGGAAATTCTATTTGTCAAACAAACAATTTCGATTCGTTTCGTTTCGCTTCGTTTCTAGGTTTCACGACAGCACTATAAATGGCTTAGAGCCTCAAGTTCTTTATAGATATTTGTTTGTGCGTGTGTGTGTTTCTCTGCAGGTTGCCTTTTTGTCTGTGGCAGGTACGTGAGCTGCTGATCCTCAGCAGCTGAACACGCGAGGTTTACAAAGAACTCGTCTCGCCATAAGGTCCGCTCGCTCGCGCTCTTTCTCTCTTTGCGAGGCTACGCATTACAAATGCTGCTTGATGTGGGCTTGGTGATAAAAAGGATTTTCATGTTTTTCATACCTTGTTCTTCATAATGAAGGTCGGACTCTTGTTTGCTTTAATCGTATCAGAGCATCTGCTCGGTGCTGTTTTCCCTTTTCGGTGTTTTCCTTTTTCACGAAGATCTTGAGCAGAAGTCTAATGGAAGCCTAGAACTTAAACTGTGTGATGCTTAGAGAGTATTTGCTCTGTTATTATACTCTGAGTTCATAGATAATGGAAATGTAGGGTTTAAAATTTTATTTGTAAAAGTTTATTACATGCGGAAGGAGGCGGGTTTAGCCCATCAGGACGAGGAATTTAGTCGAGCTAGCTCCGTAATATACAATAACTAAAGACTAGGCATTGGAAATGCGTAATCTTGTTTACTATATGAATTACGTCAACGTATCTTCTGTTGATAATTCATTCCGTAGTCGGGCAATTCCGACTTTGAATATTCATCTAGAGTATTATGAAATAAATAAATCCTTCTGAAGGTCAATCTGCAGAGTGTAAAAATAGTTATTACACAGATCTTGTATCCCCTGGAAACTGAACCTTCATGTATGTAATACTGTAATTTATTCCAATTCATGACACAATTTCTATTCCCAAAGAATTTCAAAAAGGCGCTAGGAAAATGGAGCGGCAAAGCTTCTTGCAGAAGGACTCACAGGGTATTGGCTTATAATATGTTTTTTTGCGCTAATATCGAAGAGACATTCGCTTCCCATTTAGATAAGTAAGCTCGATATATATTGAGTTAATTTTGTTGGAGCGCAGTCTGCGGAGTAAGAGGCGCGTGTCAATTTCCCGTTGATTAGCGCAATGCTGCTTCGACTGCGAACCCAACTCAAACTCCGACCCAAAAGACTTTTCTCAGCCCGGGCAGAAGACCTAAACACACAAACACACAATATAGCAAACACTTACAGTAATCTCACCCCAAACAGCAACAGCAACAGCAACAGCACCACTAACATCAACAGCCGCAACAACAACTTCCCCGTTTGCACCCACTGCCCTCTCCACGTTCAGCGCTGAACGCGTCGCTTGCGCATTAAATGCGATTTTAATCACTTTCCGTTTTGTCACTGACGTGTGACTCGAAACTGAGAGAGCAACTGCGAAAAGAGCTGTTAAGAACAGAGAAAGAGAGAGAGAGTGAGAGGGACAGTGAGAGAGAGAGCAGAGTCGTGGATCAGGGGAATCATAAGAACCGCTATCAACTGCTGAATAAGAATTGCTCTCTACCATAGCCTCAAGATAGCTCAGGTCGTTCTTTGTCCTCTCAGTTTTTTGAGAGCTTGCAGAGGAGCTCTCGCGACTTGGTCAGCCAAAATGTGACACGCATATAATCCGTAATGCTAGAATAGTAGTCCACATACATATTCACTATGCTCATTAGACAGTTCATATTTCAATAGTTTCCTGGATTCTAGGGCTGTTGAAAAAATATCAATATATCGATTTATTTTTCAACAAAAATATCAATAAGATAAAAACAAAAAATATATTTATATCGAAATATTTTTTTTGCCCAAATATAGAATATTTGTTCATTATTTTTGATATATTTGCGTTGGTCAATCCTGTAATAACTAAACCAATTGCGAATGTACAAAAATTGAATATGGTATATATTCTGGAAGCTGCATATCAAATATCATATTATAAATTCTATTTATTAAAGTTTTAATATTATAAACTAAAATGCATATTATGTTATCTTAATGCGTAAAAAAGAAAATTGACAGAAAATATTGTATGATTTACACGATTTTTTAATAAACTGATATTCATTTTCGTTTCCAACAAAAACCAACTCGCCAATCTTCATTCAAGTTATTATCATAAGAGACGAACTCATCTATTTATACATCACTCTAAAACTAGTTTCTACCCCAAATCCCTGTTCGTAATGCAGAGAGTCTGCTGCTCTCTATATTATTAGATCTCGATTTAGGAAACCCTTTTACAGACTAAAGTAATATTTCTTTAACGTTCTGAATAAGAGTATTCAATCTTCGACCGTCCAAGGAGAAATGCTTGTCTCCTTGTCTTTTCGCCTTTACTCTCATATAATTTTATTAAATATCCACACATAAACTTTGTCATTTGGCCTCGGGAAAGGCCTCGCATTCTAGCAGCCTAGATGTCAGTCTGTTTGTCTGTTTGTCCGTCTGGCAGCGTGAAAATGTGGTTCTGTTTGCTGTTTTTCTGGTCTTCGGAGCAGCATGTTAATGTAATTTTTATGTTGATTGCAAATTTCCACATTTCCGGATGCCAAGCTCTGCGACAGGAGACATGAGACAGCCGACTGAGAACTGAGAACTGTGAACGATTTGCCTTTCGGTTTTCTGTCATGGCGTTAAAAAGGGGCCCATGCGTATGTGCGTGCCCATATTGTGGGCTCTTGATTATGATGTTTACTGTGGGGCTGTCGCTAGGGTCTCGCTCGCTGTACGCCAAGGATCTGGGCTTTGTTTCACATGCGGCGCGCTTAAATGCTCGGCTTTTGTTTGCTTCGCGCATTACGTTTTAATCAGCGGTATTAATTTAATTTAATTTGATTTAATAATCCGGCTACACAGAGCACATGTGGTGAGGCAGCTGAAAGGACTCGCAGCACTGCAGCTGCTAAGTACGTCTAAGTGGTTCCCATTGTGGTCCGAGCAGTTCGTATGATCTATTGTGTGGTCGAGTGTGTTTTGGCCATTGTCGGGGACTTGCTCATTAAAAATAATAGAGGGTGTGAGGGAAGGAGCGAGTGAGTGAGAGTGAAAGAGCTTCATTAAGAGTATGCCCGGTAATGATAACGGATTCCCTGGAGCAGGAGTCCGACTCGAGTGGGCTTACGGCGAGCCTAGCCAGGTGCCTAGACAAATGGTCAGGCACTTGGCGAACTGAATGGATTTCGCGTTTTAATGCAATCACCGTCTGAAGAGTTGCCAAATTGAAAGTCCTATTATAATGGAAGGAAACGAGTTGTAAGGCTTCCCATAGTCATTATATATTTATATCTAATGATGCCGAGCTGTAGTCGGTTGTACATTTAATTCTTTACACTCTTTCAAATATTTAGAAAGATAAAATATTTTTCAGAGAGCAATTTAAGCTTTAACAATTTTCCTATATTTTACCATGGAAGAGTTTTCTTTTAATACTTATAGATTTATTCTTTATTTTCTCTCGATATTTAATTATCAAATTATTATTATTCAATTATCTCAGTTTTTTCTTTCAACATTTCTATTATATATTTTTAATTAGTCAGATTAGTCTTCTATCTATATTTTAATGCGGATATTATATAAGTTAAAATTATAGATCATAATACTATTTTAGACGATTTTTACAAATATTAAATGACTTTTCATTCAGCTTTCACTTTACATTCGCTATGCACATTTAAATGCTTGTAAACCAAATAGAGTGCCAATCGATTGCTAAATAGCTTCATTTTCATTTAATAAAGATATTTTTGATATCGATTAAATAAACATATTCTTATGACACTTTTTGAATCAGATTTGCTCTCATTTCGTGCATATTTCATTCTTTTATTTGAAAGCTTTTCAGTCTTTCCATGGTATTCCAATTAAAATCTTCGCTTCTCTCTTTGCCACTCAATTCAATTCACTTGGTACATTTAAGTCGCTTCGGCCACTTACTGAGAACTCCTTTGAGCATTAACCCATCAAATACTTTTGCCCCGAATGGGGAGCTGTTGACTAAACTTTGCTGCGCTGTGATATAATTTAAATGAA